TATTGTCAATCTGACCCGTAAGGGTTGAGTAATTGTAATTTAGTCACGTATTTTAACAAATATCACTATTTCCCCCCTTTTTTATAAGGGGAAACTCGTAGCCGTTATCCTTCGAATGTACACTGGATATATCCTCGAACTGACGTAATAGCCTGCAAACCACGCAATTCAAGTAAACAGCACTAAGCAAGTCTAGTGTAACAAGCTCGATCGAGAAAGTGTTAGTAGAGGAATCGAACTAGTGACCAAAGATCTTCGGGCTCATCTATTCCACCAACTCGATCACCCCATGAGGGGCACACTATTTCCCCTTTATTAGTTAGGACGGTTGCGATGATACTTTACACATGTTTAGTTTTGATAAAAAAAACTAAAAAATTAGATTTCTAATAGGGTAAATTAGGCTCAATGCCCTATTAAACTAATTAAATTGAATAATACCCTTTTAAACTAATTAAAACATTTAATACATAATTAATACGTCCTAAAGTCCCAAACCCCCAAAAACGTAATTCAATATCCCCAATTTCAGAAAACAAACAATCTTTTTCCATTGGTGCCATCTCCTGTCTTTAGAATTTGTTGTTATAACATTCATTGCAAATTCTGCATCTGCAACCATATTCGTTGATGGGGTCTCAGAAACTAATTGTTGTTCCTTAGTTGAATAATTGATTTGAACTAGAGGTCTTGTCTTCTTTTCCTTGTGCGCATCTTGCCCTCATCTTCGTATAAAAATTTAGTTTTGTGAAAGAAGTAAGATCCTATAGCAATCAATGATTTAATTATCTTGACTTTTGGGCTTCGTTTATGTTTAATGTTTTTCATTTGTATTTTACGAATTAAGCGATCCCAATTGTAAGACGGACTCAATTGTTGTTCAGTTTCAAGGTTTTTCTAGAAAATGAAAGTTTCAATTGGCATTAAATGTTGCGTATGCATTATGTAGTGTTTTAGTTCGAGTTTACTGTCAGAGATGCTTTTGTTCAATATGTAATTCGAGCTGGTAATCCTCTAAAGAGGATAAGTAGCAGAGTGACTGCTGATTTTCGCTCGTCTTAGCTTAGGAAATGACTTATAATAACTTAAAAGACAGATGCCGCTGCTGTGAGGTGTGAAGGAAGGACAAGCAAGGGAACGTAAATAGTTAAGCGAGCTGTAGTGTAAGTGAAAGGACGCCGTGCCATGAGATGGGGGGTTCTTATTCTTTTGAAGGAATATACCTTCATTTATTAATTTACGACGCCCTCGAAGGAAATGTTCCAATCAAATTCTAAGCTTTCCTCCTTCGCCGAAGAGCCTCCAGGACAAGGAGGTAGTTATGGGAATGTTCAGAATGGTTTGCTATGCAATCTTCCCATTTGCGTAGTCAATGGCAAACTCAAATATGGGCCTTCTTAGGTAAAAACGAGTTGTTGAAAAAACTCAATGTGAATAAACAAGAAGAAACAGAAGTATGAGTAAATTTATTCTTATTTAAAGGAGATTACAAGATTTTGAGGTTGAATCTTTACTTTCCTTGTTGGTATTCCGCTTTTGAGGGTCATTTGGATCTTAATGTCTTTTGAAGTTAAGATTTATGGAGTCTTTTCAACTATGATTTGTTGTTCTTGTCAAATTTTGAGAAGTTTGGATTTTGTTTGTGGAATTGATTGTTTGATTCAAATACATTACTAAATTACTCCTTTAGGCAGAAAGTTGGGCAACTGGATAAATCTTTACTCATGTATCTGGGCTATTGGATAAATCTGGAAGAGGCCATGGAAAGAGAGGAAAGGCTAAGGATTTGAAGGCAAGTTCTGAACATATACATGATGGGGGTTGGGTACCTATTTCTTTCTAGGATTACTGTTGGAGCATAATTGTTTGAAGAGATAGCAGATTGGTCTCCATTAGTTGAAGTGGAACTTAAATGAGAAGCAAATTGCATGTTGGCAATGTGATTAGGTTTAATTACCTTATAATGTAAATAATGACATTCATGAAGTTTCTTTTTGATGATTTCGCTAATGTGATTGGAAATATGTTTGAAAATAATATTATTGAACTTGAGAAGAAACTGTTTGTGTCAATGCATATGAAAAAATAGTTTTAAATCAATTAAACTTATGCATACAAAGTGTTTGCGGAATGGAGAATGTGAAAAAGTAACATGCTGTCACTTTTCTAAAAAAAAAGTCACACTATCGTATTTGAGCAATTAACTAGATGCATATGTGTACATTTTTTAAAATTCGAACGTACAAATTCAAGCTTTATTTTATGCTATTACATAAAAGATAATTTTGAATCAATTAGATTGATGCATAAAATGTGTTCGTTCAAAGAGAATGTGAAAAAGTGACAAAATGTAACTTTTCTAAAAGAAAGTTACATTATCTCATTGGAACAATTAACCAGATGCATATGTGTGCATTTTTTTAAAATTTGAACATACAAATTCAAGCCTTATTTTATATAATACATATGAAAAGAAAAGCTTTAAATCAATTAGATTGATGCATACAAGGTGTTTGTTCAAAGGAAAATGTGGAATAAGTGTCACTTTTTTTATTAAATCTGTGTATCTTTTATAAATTTGTGTCACCTTATTTAGATTTCTATCACTTTTTTGGTCACTTTTTCCATCATCTTCTTGAAATTTATATAATTATTTTTTTTTTTTAGTGAGAAACACCACTTTTTAATAAAAGTGAGATTGCATGTCATTTTTTAATATAAAAGAAACACTAAACTTTTAAAAGTATATGATTTTTCAAAAGATTCATAATTTTAAGGGTATTTTTGTAGGTTTCCCTTTTTAATAGAGCTTGATTAAAATTAATTATATATTTGATTAAAAAATAATAGAAGTTATGAAGTTATGAAATATATGATTTTTTAAAATGGAGCTTTTTGTTAGTGGGGATTTTTTGAACTTCGACTCTTTGTTTGACAGTCCAAAAAAGTGCTATGAGTACAAATTTTGTCCACCTAACTACGAAAGAGTTGCACAGTATTACTTATTTATTTAACTAAATTCTAATAATTTATTTCCATCCTGTAAAAATCTATTATAATTAATTTTAATTGAAATAGCATTGGCATTAATATTTTAGTGCATATCGTATTATTTATTCTGTAATATATTTTATCACATCAACTTATGGCATATATATGACATTTCATACATAAAATGATAAATAAAAGTAAAAATTAATACAAAACATGTAGTAGACATTTTAAAAAGAAAGTTTAAATTATACAAATTTATGTAATGTTTTATCAATTTATTGAATGTAGGATAAATTGGAATATACTACATATTTTAGCAAATTAATAAAGATAATTTTGTTAATCAAAAAGTTTCGTTGAATATATTTTTTAATTTTTTGTATAACTTGAATGTAGAGCTTTCTCGAGATTACTTCCCTAAATAAGAATTTAAATGTTGTTTTTTGAGTTCGCCATGACATTCTTTGGCAACAAGTTATCGACAATAACTTTTACATGAATGCATATCACTTTAAAGCTTGTTTGGCATGAAATTTTCAAGTGATAAATATGTTTTTTAGAAAATGTGTGGTTAAAAATATAAAAAATTATAACTTTCATTGAATGCGTTATTGAAAATGATTTTAGAAAAATATGTATTGAACAAGCCTTTGGCTAGCACTATGTCATCAATTTAGTTTTGTTTCCTCCATCAAACTAGAATTGTGAGGCATTAACATTTCACAAATCCTGCCCTCACGAGATAACGTTAAATCGGCCTTTCAATGGCCACGAGAATTTAACTCATGATGCTAAATTATATGGTAACTTTGAGTAGAGAATGAAACTATAAGGAAAAGAACAAGACAATAAGTTTGGAAAAAATCGCTCAAAATTAATCTCACTTCACTCTATCACTACATGGGATTTACAAATGAACCGACACATCTATTTATAGACAATGTCTTAGAAGACAAGTCGGAATCAATGGTCAATATTTAATTGGATCCATGGCCATAATTGGTGGCAAATCCTCCATTGTGCAAAGTGATAGCCAAATTGATGTTTGATTCCTTGTAAGTCGTAGGTCTCTACAACTCTTATGCAAGTTGACATGTCCATCTCATAGTATTCAAATTAAATTTTGCTTCTTTCAAGCTTGTTGTAGTCAAGTTGAACTTTGCTAGTTGGCATTCACTTGCATCCAAAACAACTGGCTACAGTCCACGATATTTGTCTTCCTCAAATCTATAGTTTTTGACTTACAGAAACCTCATTTTCGTGCCTATCTAGCCTGTCCGTGTCTTCTACCATAGATAGTCACGTCTTATCGAATTGCCCTGTCTTCTCTAAGTTTTGCACTCGCTATCTAGACTTTTCGACCACGACCGAGAGGATGTAAGTACTCTTCCATCGAATTTAGCGACGTCCTCGTTGTCGTATAATGCCGAAGCTTGGACTTAAATTATCATAGGTCTACTTCATTCTCCCACTTTGTACTGTGGATTCCTAATCATATCACACTTCAAGTTATTCTACTTGGGTGCAAACATTCATTGCCCAGTGGTGTCCAACATCCCAATTTCGACCTAGAATATCCTAGTCTCGCCCTCTTTGGCACTTGCATCAAATTCATTTCCATCAGGGTGATGTTCCATTAACTACTTTTGAAATTTCTTCAACTTCGAGATTGCCATACGATAAGGAGTCATGGTCAGAGATTTAGCACAAAGTTCCAACTTGATGAGATGATCACCTTCCCTCCTAGGCGATAGTTTTCTTTGCAACTCCTTGGGCATCATGTCCTTACTTCCCTCAATGACTTTTCCAATT